ACGAGAGTGCGTGAGGGGGGGGGGGGGGGGGGGGGGGGGGGATCATTTATTAGACTACTAATCCACAATCATCTCAATGAAGTCAATCCATGCTATTTTATTCTGATAAACATATATAACTGAGGTTTTATTTCATAAGACAAAAAAAGATATTCGTTTGCATATTACTTGTCTGCATATAAGCACCAATTCAAGAACTTATTCGTACTAATCCCTCCAACGAACTTGCAGAAGTGACAGAAAACAATTTCTTTATTGTTTTTTTTCCCTTATTGCTGACCATTCTCTTGGGAACCATAGCCTATGAATGCATGAATATTGCCATGAAAAGCTGTACAATTGGACGAACATTCTTTATTTCAAGTTATTGAAAACACCTTTTGACACATTTTGATGCACATCATGAACAGATCTGAGGCTTCTTTTATGTTGGAAAACGAAGGCAAAAGTGAAGGTTCAAATATTTACTAGGTGGGTGCTAGGACTGTAATTGTTTGAGTAAGAAATCAAAACAAGCAGACAGGGGATTCTTGATTAGTTTCACAACAGCTTAAATTTTTGTAGGATCGTTAATGCAATGAGGGATGATAATTCCTCAATTTTATTTCTCAACAAGATTGTTTCCTTACTAATGTCAGTCTGCAGAAGAGCATTACAGCCTGATCTCTAAAGATCAGATGAACACAGTATGGCAAGGTTACCTGAAAGTGGGACAAAATGATGCCCAAGTATTCATCATTGTTATAGACGAATCTCTTTCCAGATTTTTATTTTTTATTTTTTATTTTTTTATCTCAGATGAACCTTCAGGCACCCAAGAGTGGAAGAGAGACAGAGAAAGCAAAGAGGTGAAAAAGGTAAAATCAGCAGCCTGCAATTTCTTTGCAGGTTAGTAGCCAGTAGTGTTGGAAGGAAGTTTGTAACTAGAAAACAATCACCCAAGCAAGCCAGGATGAATCAGATCAGTTCCCATCAGTCTTACTGGATGAGGGATTAGTATAATCAGAGTAAATGCTGATTCTTCCCTCATCACCATAGTTGAATTTTCAATCCTAGCAATGTCTTTTGCTGGATTGTCAAGAGAGGATGG